CCAACTCGTAATTGTATAAGCAAAAAAAAAAAATAATAATAATAATAATAATAATATGAAATATAATATACTTAAAAATCACATTATCAATAATTATATTATTTTATGCATACATAATAATTAACAAGTATTTACTATTTTTTTTTTATCTAAATACCCTAATACCTTTCAATAAATCGTAATCTAATAATGCATAATACAGTCAAATTCGCTTATAACGATCTTCAAGGGACCAAGAGAATCTGATCGTTATAACCGAACTTCATTATATCCGGATTATAAAAATGTAATAACACATAAGATATAAAATCAACCAAATACATTGCTTGGAATCGTTTTACCCGGAATATCGTTGTAAACAGCATCGTTATAAGCAAATTCGACTGTATTATATGATCGATATATCCTATAAATCATAAAGGAAACAAATCTTAAAATTCTTACAATTATAGGATATATTTGTTTTATAAGATATTTATAGTGTTATTGATATACTAATAAAATATGTAAGTATACAATTAATAGACCAAAAATAAAAATAAATTTATTTTTAAGTTAATATATTGCATAAATATGTTATTTTTCTTTTTATTCATTTCAGTTTTCATACTAATACTATTATTTATATAGTTCATAATTATATAAATCACTATATCAATAAAATTAAGAGATGGTATTGACATAATAAAAAATAATAATAATAATAAAAGCACAGAATTTATAGCAAGGTATTGTTTTGTATTTAAATTTGGTGATTCAGTCACGTGCCTACAGTTATTGCAAGCACACGTATGTGCTCCGTGCTATCGTAATAAATTGTGCGTTAATCATGTCCCGTTCCGTTCTCGTAATTATTGTTTTACTTTATATCTACCTTATCTTATGATTATTCGTTTATTTAATAATTAATTAATCAAATTATATTATTAATATTGCGTGTCTATATACATAGTATACGGCGTTTTCTTATCCATACACCGTCGCAAGCGGTCTCGATAACTAGATTCGTTTCGACTTTATTAATATGTCGTTAACAAATAATATTCAAAATAAAACACCCATATCCAATATTTCAAATAATATGAATAAAAATAAAAATAACTACAGAAATTTAACATTTACATTGACTGATGACTCAAACGATGGTTATACTGTGCAAAAAAGTAAGCACTTATCAAACTTTTCATCCACTTCGCCAAACTTAACTAAAAATAAAAACAAAAAGTTATTTAAAACCACGAATTGTTTTGAACCCCTCAGTCCAGATGAACCTCCTGAAGAAATTTCAATAAATGATGTGTTTGTTCACAATAATAGTCATCTCAAACCTTCCTTTCCTATTTTTGTAAGAAGTGTGATTGATTATACAGAAATTTGCACAAAATGTATATACCTTATCGGTGTGGACAACTTTTTTCTGTAAATCATTTGCAGATCGGTTAAAAATTCAAACAGCCGACCTGGACTCATATAGAACCCTTCTTTAAATCAACCCTATAATTATGTACTCACTTGAGCTTAAGCCACCTCTGGTAAATTTACCATTTCAGATCCTAACTCTACATCTGACCTCAAAAATGTTCTTGTGAAGTTCTAATCAGTTATAAAACCTTTGATCTCTCTCCAAAATAAATTAATCTCAAAACTACTTAATAAAATATAAATGTCTACTAATAATATAACTAACAAATCTATAAAAATCCTTCAATTCAATGCAAATGTCTTAAAAAACCATATTAATAAACTCGATACTGTATTATACAAAAAGCGCACTTATCACTATAATATTCAACAAGTTTACACAGTTTTTGATGTCATATCTTAATCACTGGAAAAAAAAAAAACTCTACAGTATAAGCGCATTTCTGATACTTCTTAGGCTTTAATAGGGTACGGCCTCCTGTATAAATTAAAAAAGTTTCTTTATCTTACATATTTCGCCATTATTATGTCGTATCTCTCAGATCATCGCTTTCAAGTTTGTGTTGATGACGATTTTTCTTCCATAGCCAATATAACTTCTGGTGATTAGGTAATTTTATCTATACACTCTAATTCCTTCGTTATAACTCAAAATCTCCAATCTCACCACAATCTCATAGAAAAGGTAACTCCCAAAACGGTTAAAATGGAAATGGTGTTGTGACCTGTTAGCACCTAATACTAATTAATTAACTAAAAAAAAAAAAAAAAGTTGAAAATATCAAGTAAAAAAAAAGATAAAATAGCAAATTGAAAGTGTTACTAATGGCCAATGGGTGGCTGCTTTCCTCTAAAATTTCATGTGTTATGTATAAATGTTATTAAGATTATTATAATGTATTTTTTCTGAAATTTGTATAAAACTAATATGTATCACATCTAATTATTATGTCCAAGTGGTATATCTTGTAGATTAAACTTAAAAGTAAAAAAATAAAATAAAAAATTTGGTGATTAAGTGTTGTTTTTAAACATTGATATATAAGATTGAATTTTTTTTTAAACTTTCGATTATGATGGAAGGGAGTATAACGTTGATGTTGAATTTGATGGATATGCTTTGATCTGGGAGTTTAATAAATGGATTGAAAATCCCTGTATAAAGTATTTTAAAATGCTAGTAGTTAGCAAGATGTTTGACGATATAATATTATACACACTAAAGCACATGTGGCAGAGGTATAATAATGTTTTTCCAATGTTATGGTTGTGTGTTCTTCATAATATAGTATTAATTAACTCTCAATAAGGTACTGTAAAAGATGATCTACGTCATTTTTTCTATTTTTACACTAACACTATTGGCTGTTAAGGAAATTAACAGAAAATTTAAATATAATATTATGTCATAATATACTAACTAATTATACCTTTTACTGTTTACTACTATCTATGAATAAATTGATTTGATCACATATATTATTCTCCCCACAAAAATAGAATTATAATTATAACTTTAATAATCTGATAAATAATGTTAATAATCAATGTCCTTGTAGTAAATAAAATATGTATAATTATGTTTACATTTAAAAAAAAAAAAGGGCGTGTGTAAAAAGAGAAAATGTGTATTGTAATATTTTAGGTGCTATTCACTTTTAAGAGAACGCCAAAGTACCACGCCCATATTTGTTGTTTCCGCTTTACAAGTGCATAACTTGGAAAATTTAGAATTAAGCAGTGAGTTCACATTTAGCTTTGTCAGTTTTAATCCATGCGTGAATTGACCTAATATAAAACTTTTAAATCAACACTTCTGTGTTTGTGCGCTGTTTTTTACAATTTTTAAATTTTTAAACGAGCTGTGCACACACTTTTTTACTAAGTATAAATAATAATTTACCTAAAAATATAACCAACATGCAATCACGTAACATGTCCTCATTGCCAAATTTCATAATAGTTCTATTTTAATCTAATATTAAAACTAAAAAACTTAAGTCAACTATTAAGTGTACTTGTACGAATCATTCGACAAATTTAATATAGTTGTACCGTATACTAATATACACTACATATACCCTAAGATTAAGCTGGAAGTCAAAAGGAGACAAATTTCTTCCTAATACAGTTAAAACTTCATTAACAGAGTTATAAAATATATCTAATTATAATATTTTGAACTTTTCAGTTCTATTTCATTGAACGTATAACACACATGATGTCCTATGACACAGGAAAAGGAGAAATATAATCACTACAGTTGCAGTCTATTCATTGAAATATTTATAAGACATTTAAAATCTGGAAAGAGACTTTGTCAGTCTACATTACTGTTTTTACATTGACCCCTCCTAAAATAATTTCGAATTATTTAAAAAAAAATTAATGGATATAATATTCAAGAAAATTTGTTTCTATAACCAAATCTATATTCAAATAAAAGTATTTATTTATTAACAACATCTATTCGACTATTTATTTATTCATTATAAATTATATATACAAGCATACATATAGTTGTACAATCAATTTTTATGTAATTAATATGTTTCCTTATTCATGATATGTTTTACAAGGAGAGACATAAATTTTGTGCTTAAGTAGGTAATTCTGAAATATAATACTACTAGCATTTATAACAAACAAGGCAATTTATTGGCAGATTTTAAATGACGAGGGAGATAACTGTAACATATACAAGTTACTGGTGAACACTGCGATTTAGTTTAGTAATAAGAACACAGGAACATAAAGTATGACAATATAAATCATTGATATAGCCATCAGTCAAGTTTAGATTGTGACGTAGAGACAAATAGTCATCTCTATATTTTTAAGTAACATTAATTTTAAATTTGATTTAATATATGTATAATAACCTATCTTATAAATAAATCATAATATTTCAATTGCTTCAACTCATACTCCGCTATTCATGTGATCTTCAACAAGGTTACTCAGGTTATAAGTGTACTGTATAATATCATTGCTATTTAATCATATAATAAACCTTGTATACGTTGCTATATTGTTTATATTGTGTTAATCTAAGAACACTGGTCATAAGTTTCTAGAACCTGTAAAATATAACTTAGAAAACTTTATTTGTATCGATTCAACAACTCGTTTCTTAAGACCGGTCCGTGTAGTAAGAATAGCTAACCAACTACTTAACTGAATAGAATTAGGTATAAATATCGATAGGGCCACTTGGTTTGAATAAACAGGTAGGTTAGTTGCACCATCATACCAGTTTAATATCTTTTATTTTTAAATTACCCTTTATGCTCATTAATAATACGTTATTATACAATTAACAAAAATTATAAATACTCTATTTCTTTCAAAACACCAAAATACATAGTTTCGGAAAACAAAACAAAGTATTTATAATTTAAATATGAAATGTGTAAAAAAATTATGGCGTTATAATTATTTGGTGTCTAAAGTATCCCTACAATTATTTGTTACTCTAACCACAGTATATACCACAAATAATAGTTTATAATATATAGTATATAATATAGAATGGTTGATATAATAACTTTAGTTAGTAATATAAACTATAAACTTACATTGTAATCTTCATGGTTAATACAAGTTGTGTAATTGGACCAGACTGCACCTGATATTGGGTGCTTGAACCATGTAGCATTTTTATTACAAATCTTATAAGCAGTTCCTGGAATAAAATATATTGAATTATAATAGAGCACTGGAAATAAAATATGAGTTAACTAAAATATACTAACATAGAAATATATAAGTATTTAACTGTGTAGTTATCACTCGTTAAGTTAAATGATTTAATAACTCATAATCCTTAACACATCTTAACAAAGTCTAAAATATTAAAATTAATTAATAATTTATAATTAAGTTTACTAATGTTCACGAAATACGTACTATAAACAAACTTTTTTTTACGTCTATTAATAAAGGTTTTATTAAAATATATTAAACAAAAATAACATAAAACCAAACAAGTATATTATTATGTAATAATAACACAATTTAGTAAAATTATATCAATAACAACTAACAAGGGTACAAAATACAAACAAATAATGCATTACCTATTATTTATATAGAATTTTATAAATGAATATTTAATTTTTTCGTAAATTTGTAATTTAAAATATTTTAAAAAAAAAGTAGTTTATTGAAATAGTTTTAATACTACATTGATGATGTAAACAAATTATTCAGAATTTAAATGCATTATTATATTGTCAAGTTAAAGTGAAACATAATATAAGTATGCTGTATAAAAATTAAAGATATCTACTATAAAGTTATTATGACATACTCGTACATTGTACATATTACTTTGAAATGTGGATAAATAATAAACATAATCTTTTAGCTAAGTAATACTTACCACATATTATAATAGATACTATTAATAAAAGTATTAAATTAATTATGTTTCAAAGTTTAATATCGTAATTCAAAAACAATTAACTGTGGAAAGTAATAATTTATCTATTATAATATTATTATTTTTAACACGTAATGCAATTTTAAGTTATATTTATAGATTATAGATGATTTTTAGCATAATTAATAATAATTTTTTTATTGGCATTATACGAGTTATTTTAAAAAAAAAAAAAAAATAGATACCATATCTTACTAATATAAAAATTCATAACTAATGGTACCTAATATAAATTAATTAAGGTTAATTTATCAACTTGTCGTAAAATATCCGTATAACTACTAGAATTTGACAAACCATTTTTGTTAAGAATTGTTTTTTATATGGAATGATTGATTATAAATTCAAATGTGATATATTGATTACATTGCACTATACAATTAAGATGTATACCTTTTAATAAAAAACTATACAACAACCACTACCTCGTCTAATTTTTTTTTTTACACACCTATGTAGGCACTATTGCAAAAAAAAAAAATTTTAACAAGCAAATATTTAGGAAACGCATTAACATATTCATTTCTAAAGAAATTCATTAGGCGTTTAAAAAATAGTATTTCATCTGAAAAATATGATATTTTAAATTAATATTCCCTTGGAATTTGATTACATAAAATAAAAATAATAAAAAAACTATTTATATAATTAAATACACCGTAAAAAGACGAAAAACATTGTCAATTAAAAATAAATTATAATAATCAAATAATAAAATATACGAAGAATATTCATTTAATATTTATATTGAACTATCTCAAAGAGAAAAAATACTGATCCTTATTTCATAAAATATTTACAGGATTTAAATATCACATTAAAATTAATGAATAATATTATCAGAGACCAGGATTGATAGATTTTCAATAAAATTAATAACTTTATGTTTTTACTCTCAACGATGTAAAAATAAATATTATAATCATGACAAAAAAAAAAAAAAAAATTAATTTTCATATTATTATAAATACATAAATAAACGAACATTGTTATCTTTATCGTACCAAAAAAAAAAAAAAAATTGTACTCTTTAAAAATATCGTATAAGTGTTTAAAATAAACAAATAAAACTCACTCGTTGGATCAAATCCAGAAATGAATTCTGGACATGGTTGGTGAACGGTGACTCCGGCTTGTGTATCTGCCCAGCAAAGCCATCCATCAAACGTCCCCCGACAAAAATGTAAACCTGTCAAAAAAAAAAAATAAATAAATAAAAATAAAAATACTAACCTTAATCCTTTCACATAATTTAAGAGACTGAATGCAATACACGAGTATAGAATTTGGATACACAAACATTATGCATATTATATTATAATAAAAATATAAAATTACGTATTTAAAATCGTTTGATAAAACAATTAACACATTTAATAAAATACAATTTTAATACTTTAGATAGTTATAAATTAACTTAATTTACATGATAACACTTATAATTTTATTTTATTTGCAAAATAATTTATATTTATATTAGTGCCAATGATCGATAATATAGGTCATATAATATATTGTAATATGGTTTATACCTTAATAAAGTCGATTGGCAATTATTAATTTAAATTTAGACGTTTTAATTTAAAATGATAATCAATGTCACTCTAACCAAATTTTTAAATAATGAGTTTACAGTTATAATAGTTTCACACAATTTAAAGATTATATCTATGAATGAAAAGTAAAAAAAAAAAAAAAAAAAAAACGACAATAAAATATTAGTACCATTTCAATATGATAATTATAAATAATTTTTTAATACAAAATATAGTAAATAGTAACCTCCACAATAATTACTAAAAATATTAATTACATGTATTTTATTCAATAAAAAATGTATAGGTACAATATACAAAAAAAAATAAAATATTTTGTTGAAATTTATATTTTATATTGCCTGATTGTGTAATCTTTTAGGGAAATGTAGAATGGAAACGCTAATTATTATCAAAAACTAGTTTAGGAGCTAAGTTTCAAAGTGTTCCTACCCAATCCAAGCACTGCTTAATCTAAATCTAACGATGGATCGTACTCCAAATGCACGACGGCAATTTGTTTATTGTTTATTTTATCGTGAATAATATTCGAAAAACGCCAAAAATATCTACTTGAAACGATTTACAGTAATATATTACAATACATTTTAGATCCACCGTGACACTTGATAATTCCTGAGTGAATTACTAATACTTATATGTATATTATTAAAAAAAAAAAATCTGTCGAACATCACTTTAAAGTGTTACATTTTAATTACTTTTATGAAAGTAATTAGTGACAACTGATAAGTGATTAATGTTTATTTCAAAATCTCCAAAAGATCTCTGATTACCAATATAACTCCAGTTTTAAGAAAATAAAATAATAAATTCTTCTGGGAAAAGTGCTTAAATGGTTCAATTTATTCAGACTGCGGTGATCATAAGATTTATTGCAGTTTGAACCAGTAACGGTGTTTTAAACGTAAAATTATCAAAGTAACTAATCTGATAATAATTCAAGGTATGCGATTACTGATTAATAACTTTATTTTATACTAAGTTCTATTATTATTTGTTTTTGAATAGAATTAGACTCCTGAACAATAATATATACATTGTTTGATACTTCTATTAAATACTTTTTATATTACATAGAACATATTTAGGTCGGTAGAAAGAATTTGTTTATTATTGTAATTCAATTTTATTAATGCATAAATATAGTAATTGAATTTTATTAGACTCCATATTATTAATGTTAATTTCATCAAAATGCATAGAAATTCAAAATAAACGAAAATATAAATCATATAATTTTAATTGTAATTTTCAAATAAATAAATATAAAATACAGCATTCGATATTTTTTTGTGTGAATGTACCTCAGTTTATGGGAAAAGTAGTTTCGTTGTAGTTTGCTTAGTTGATAAATCCAACCAAGTTGGACATAGTTATTTTAAATCAAGTGTAATAAACTAACAATGATGAAATCAGTATATGTTTACTTTCATTTGAAAAAGTTTTACAACAAATGCACAAAATGTACGCCTAACTTAACATACTTTTTAAATTGATCAAATGAATAGTGAATGACTCCTTGGACTTTTTTTTGAGAAAATATTACTGTAAAAATAATACTAAAAGTGTACTTAAAATTCTGTTTCATATATATAACAATGACTAAAGTGAATGTTTTGAGTTTTTTCGGTTAATATTTTTAAAATTACAAAAATATAACAATAATTATTCGACACATTGCATTATTGTAGGATATACAATATTATGAAGTCCATCCTATTATAGACTAAAAAATTGAACACAAAATTAATTTGCTGTTATTTAGTAGTATTTTGAATAAGAGATACAAAGTGAAAAGGCAACTTCATGTACATTGCATTATTGTACTACATATATACATATATAGTACATCAATTTAATGTGTCAGTAACATATCAATAGCATGTGGTTTACTCGAGTTTCGAATTAATGGCTTTAGTCAATCTTTATGCAAACTTATACATGAACTTATTACGAAATAGATTTCTCAAGGTATTATTTCTTTTAAGTACAAATAATAAATTATGACAAACTGTATACCTATTTATTATTGTAAATTTAATATAATTACATAATAATTAATAACATGTCTTTGTATTTTAAGTAATTATTTTTTTAACGTTGTGTTGCTCAAATACATAAGAACCAAAATTATATTATAAAATTTAAGTTAGATTAACTAATATGTATATTACAATACGATTTATATATACATTGCAAACACACATATAAATTAAAATTATTCCCAATTAAATCATAATTTTTATGATACAATAAATTCATAATTTATAATGCTTAATGAGCATTACTTATACATCATAATTTTTAATACAAAAAATTGTACTTGTAATAAGCTCATAATACGAATTCAAAATTATAGATTACTATTTAATAAAAAAGACTAGGATTTATATGCATTCGTTTGCTATTTTTGTAGTGTCGATTTTGGTTAGTTGTATCCATAAATCATCATATGCTTTATTTTGCACAATTTAAGTATAATAATGCATATTGCATATTTAACTCAAAACATGTAAAATATATGTTTCATGGTAACTATCTATGTTTAAACGTAAATATATAATGTAAAAAGTTGGATACTGCAAAATTATATGGATTTATTTAAAGGTAAGAATTAACGAAGTTATTTATCAAACATAAAATGTAATTTTATTCTTCAACTTATTTTAAAATTATAAGATACATCTCTATCACTTAATGATAGTTCGATAAATATTGGTAAATTCGTTGAACATTTTTATATGTTTTTACTACATACTCGTATTTTAGCTTATTTTATTATTTTATATTGTATATAAATTTGAGCCTACTAATAAATAATGGCTTATATTATTGAGTTTAAATTTATCATATACTAAAAGGGGGGAGGTGGAGAGAAGGGCTAATACACCGACTGAGATAATTTATGAATTCTGTCAGTATAAAAATGTAAGGGCCTTCAACATTTTTAAAATTTTATTTATACTAATAATACTAATTTGAGAATGATTTAGACATGGACAAAAAACATTTAATTGGTGCATTATAAAATTCCTCCAATATCAACAAAATTGACTTTGTTGTATAAAGAAATAAAATTTCATCTATTTTAAACGTGGTTATATATAAAAATATACATTTTAAACAATAATAAAATCTTAAGTTACTAAATAATAAATGTATTTATATTACAAAAAAATAACAAAAATCTAATATAAATTGTCAATTTTACTTTTGAAAATTAAATTTTGTCAACACTTTAACTCAACTACTCATAAAAATGTAATTGCTATATAATAAGTTTATCAGGAACTTTGTACCAGATATTTGAGCTATTTTATGTACAAATAAAAAATATATCATACATTAATAATAAACAAAATAAAAATAATTGAAACTTTCAAATGACAATTAATAAAATTGAAAAAATTATTTTTTCTACCCACTATAAAGGGCTTTCGAAATTCGAATACACATACCAAATAATAAATTCATCGCTACGTTTAGAGTCTTTAATAATAACAATGATTTAGTGACTATGATCACTTTCAGCTTAGTACAATACTATATTGTTAGTTGGCTTTAAATAATCGATTTTAAATTATTATATTTTATTACTTAAAATACATAAACATTAAAGGTAGTACCTTTTAATACGTGGATAATAATTAAATTTATAACTACTGATAAATAATATACAAACCTATAACTTACCTTATAATTTGTAAATAAAAAAAAAAAATAAAATAATGATAGTAAACGTAAAAAAGAAGTAAAACAGTAAATTGTTTAATTTAAATAATTACAAGTACCACATGATTATAATATGCACAAATATAAAAAAAAAAAAATAAAATGATATTTCTATATTGATAAAATAACGAGAAAATAATTTATAATATATTATAATTTTCAAGTATTTTTATATACATGTTTAACTGTTTATTTTTAAAATACATTAAAAACACTTCGAAGTACAAATATTTAAAATAATATTATAACATTAGATTCTTATTATGTTGTAATACTTTTTTTTTGTAAATTAAAGTAATTTAAATAATATGGCCAAAAATAAATTTGATTAAAATGTTACCCTTAAAATATATTTACAGTTGTTTTAAGTTTGCAAATATATCTAGATAAATAATTTTATAAAACATAAATTTTTTAAGTAATATTATAAGCTATTATTAATCAAAATTAATTTTAAATGGCTTAAATATAGTTCATAAAATATTACTGAAACGGAAGTTATTGAATATTATATAATATCATTATATTATGTTATTATAGAATAGAAATAATTCATAATTTACTATTTTGAAATAGTTCATCTATTTAGAATATTACTAGATTATATCATAAGTTATAAAAGTTTTAAAGATATATTTACTGAAATATGATGGAAAATAATTTCCTTTAATTTTTAAAATGTATACGTAAATAAATCACATTAAAAAAAAAAAACTTTGGATAAAACCTCACTAATTTGTATGCGAATTTAAAGTTAAAATGTTGATGGAATTAGATATTTAAATATAATATTATGATTTATGACTTTTTCTTTAGCAAATTTAATGAAAGTACCTATTCTAATTCAAAAAATATTAATTGTAGGGAGCTGAAACAACTTTCCATCGTGATTATGTAGATTATTATTCATTATATACAATATAATTTTAAAAGGATGAGACTAAAACATTTAGTCTAACTTTAAGGTATTTTTACCTTGAACATATTTACAACATTCTACGGTAGGTCAGTATTAACTTTTATATAAATAAAAATTGCGTATATAATAATTATATTAATTACCATGTTGTAATATTATATGCGACGTTTTTTTGGAAAACGTGTAACCTATAAATAGTAAATAAATAACTAAAAGTTATGTTTTTAAATTGTAAAATATTCTTTGGAATAGAGGCTGACTAACAGATAGTATTCACTTAACTAATTTATTTTCAATATGCAATATCTGCATACCATAACTACTTAATTAAAATTGAAAACATAATATTATACATACATTTAATTAATGTCAAAAAATAGTCGAAATATAATATACAATAGAGAAATAATCGCTGATTTTTTAAAATTATTTTATATTAATCTTTTTATTTTTACAGCTACACACATAATGTTAATATTTCTAATATAATCATTATAAATCTTATAATGGTTTAAAAATGAATGATGGTATCTTAGTGTCACTTTGAATTAAATTATGTTTAATTTGTTTGCGTTTAAAAATAATATGATTAGATTATTTACTTTCATAATAAAACTATACAAAAGTTTTTAATAAATTACATAATTTAATATTCAAACCAAATTGATTTTCTGTGTAATATCAAGAATTATTTATTGTATTAAATCTACAGTTAATTGTTTTTTTTTCAATCTAATATTGCAAAATAAAATTGAATGAATTTCATAATGAATTCCAGTTTAGAAAAATGTCAAAATCGATACATAAGAAATATATATAAATTGTGTGGCCTGATGTGACGCGGTGGTTGGCCTCACTTATGTGTTCTGAGGTTCTGAGGTCAAGCATCGACCGGCATCACTAGCTCTTGGATGGGTGACCACCCGAGTTCTTAGTGATGAATCCATGGCGCACGTGTTCCAACCCTACTTACAAAACTTTACATGTAAACCTTTCACATAAAACCTACTGTTTCTATCCACAGCTAATGACCTTAGTTACCGGGCTTAAGTAAGAACAATTAAGAATATATATATTTTAATTACACAAGCAACTTTATTACAACAAATTATAATTCTTCCTATTTTAATTGAATGTATAGCGCAAAAATGTTTCAAACTAAAATAAAATTTTCAAATAATTTTATAAATATTCACATTATCAAAATTCAATATAAATTATGATAATACATAATAATTTTATATAAAAGATAAATATTAAGGATTTCTAAGAAGGAACAATTTGCAAATAATATTTTCGCTATTTTTATATAGCGTAAATATTTGTTTAAAAGTATTGACTATTTATGTACAGTTTTAATAAATTTCATAGTAAATCTATGAACAAACGTGAAACAATCTATTTTCCAGGTATGACTATGAACATTATCGATTTTAAATTCAAATAATAACAACACTTATAAAAAAACCACACCTATTCAAAAGTAGGTTTACAGTAATTTTAATTTTTAGAAATTGAAAATGCTCAATGAATATTTATCATACTATGAATAAAATGTAAGCATTACATTGATAAAATTACTATATGAACTCATTATAAACACTTGTTCCTAGTAATATATATACATTGTTTGTTACCAGTTACCACCATAAACGTAACTGATACAGTATGCACTCTATGAGCATGGATAGTCCAATTAGTGACACCTAAAAATCCAAACTATTATTATGAGCTATTTATAGTCATTTAACTTACTTGTCATTAGTAATAAAAAGTGTTTTAGTGTAATAACTATTCTAATTAAATAGGCTCAACTATAGATAATGTCAAATTGATTATACGTGAAAATAAAGTGGTACTTTTTTTCAAATGCATCAAAGTATGAAAATATGAAAATAAAATAGCACGTACTGTGAAAAATATTTTGAAATCTTATTTTTAATTAAAAAAAAAAAAACCACACAAAGCTTAAAATGTAAAATAATTATATTGTTGGTAACTTTAAAATCGGAAAATAATACTACACAGCATAAAGTATGGATTTTTTGTTTTAAAGTTTTTAAATCTTAACTAATAATTTTAATAGTGTAAAGAAATATCTCACCTTAATATATATTTATAATTATTATGATCAAACATAAATTCATTCATTGAAACTCACAAAAAACATGATTTATTATAGTAGGTATTATTAAAAATACAAAACTGACATAACAATTTAAATTATTCACTTTTCTAATATTAACAGTACTAACACACTTTTTAATTTAAATTAAAATCTATTAACATAGCTTTAATATTTTTGGTTTAAAACATTTATGAATTCACTCATGTATATTTTAGTATACAAGTAATCTAAGACATTTTATAAGTTTGTGTTGTGATAATTATCAAATTTCAAAAATACTTCTAGTCATTTCTAAATTATTGTGTATTTACGTAAGTCTTGTAATTAAATTAACTAGACGTAATCATTAAAAGCATTTTACAAACACACATAGTAAATAAAGGGTCTGCAAGTACTGGAATTTGATTGTACCTTAAAATGAAGTGAAATGTTCATATAAAATTGAATGCAATAACAATTTAGATATACAACAAAATACATCATTTAAAATCCATCCTAACAATTACATGAAATTAAAATAACTGCTATTCTTTATTTTTGCTTAGGTAACCTTTTTTGTTAACGAAAAAACTGAAAAATTCGTAAATTATTAACAATTATAACAGAATATATGAAATAATTAGATACACATATTTACTAAGTATATAATTATATTCTAAAAATAACTGAATTTTAAATATATTTATTTTAATAATTAACAATGTCTTACTTGGATGTGTGTGAACTGTTTCATTTAATTTAAGTTCACATTTTGATCGTAAATGGTTTTGAAATTCTGCAGAAATTCCCATTGGACTTTCTGTAGTCATTGTGTGTTTTAAAATCAATCCAATTCATACGTTAACTATTCTTGGATTATAATAACTGCAAAAATACAAAATAAGTTTCTTTAAAATATTTTCTATGATACTTAAGTAAATGTAAATATTTTAACAAAAGTTATTCAATCAACAACATAATTATTTGTTTATTACACAAGTCAATGCATGATATCATCTATTTATTTTTTCATGTATATCGGCAATAGAATAATAAATATAAATTCAGGCAATACTTATATTTTATATTATAAAGGTAAAATCTAAAATTTTTATTTAGGTAAAAATATTCATGGAAAAAGTGGTTAAGAAAATATTTTTATATACAAAATATAATGTTGAATAAAAATATTTCTTTTTGACTGCGGGTAGATTGTTAGGTTTTAAAACAGACCCCTGTAGAAATTAGTTGTGAGACTACTGTTCTAGAGAATTAGAGAATAAAATCACGCTGTTATATCCCTTTGCATAAAGCAAAAGGAAACCACTGCACTGTGAAAATCTTCCTTAGTATACAACAGTCCAATATAGACTTTTGTCAAACCAACCTTGTCTTTTTTTACACAAAAATAAAAAAAAAAATCAATATATATCTCAAATGAAGTAAAAATGTTTTGAATATATTATCATGTACAGAAAATTCAAATATTAAAATTTGGTGAAAATATAAACTCTCAAAGGTTATTTATTTTTGAGTTACAAAAAACAAAATTAATTTAATCGAATAACGATTTTAAGTAAAATTACCTGTTTTCCTTTAAATTTTTTTTTATGTTTCCCTATTTTTTTGCAAAGTACTGGAACTTTTGACTCTCAAGAGTATCAAATATTAGACCCAATTTTCAACTTAAAATCACCCTCAACATTGAAAATATAATTTTTACCGCTTTAAAAAGTGATAACAGATAAAAAACACATATTATTGTAAAATTAGTACATTCATCGTTCCGCTCAAAATTCAAAATATTACCTAGTGATTAGTACTGTATGATAGAACTATCTATTAACTAATTTTATTAAGGAAAGTAGTTTTTAATTAGTAATAACTTTGAATATAATAATAATAAAATATTAGCATCATATAAAAAATAAAAGAAGCATATTATGTACCAATACAATTTTCAATAGAAATTATAAAAAATACTAAGCACAAAAATAAATACTAAATTTATACCTAAAATATTAAATAATTTGATAATGAAATTAAAGCGAAAAAAGAACGGTTTTAATAATATTAATTTAAATTTATAACAGGCATAACGTATGTATAATATAGTTAAGATTTAAGAAAGTTTTACCTTAAGACAATAAAATATTCAATATAACAAAATTTCATTGATAAAATAAAATGTTTTTACACATAAATCACACTCTATTAAAGAAATCATAAGGAAAATAAAACAATTGTAAGAAAGTGTAAATGGTTAACTAAAAACGTATAAAGCATAATATTATTTACGTTTCAGCAGCCAATACTGGTCATGACGTTGAAGACGACCTTAAACATAGATTATTTTTACAATTAAATTAATTAGATTAAATTAATTATTTTCGTTAGAAAATCCAGTGAGATAATTATGGCTCTAAATTTGGTAACTACATTTAATTCGTGATGAAATTAATCTTTGACATTCGCCACCGATATGACACTTTTTGGACACTTGTCAAAATTAAGTATTCATAGTTATGAATTGGTGACTCATCACAAAAAGTGCGATTATGTTTTTCTAAATAAACTAACAATAATAATTATTCTGAACTAAGTGCGGAAAATCCGGTAGTAAGGATGATTAATTTAAGTACAAATCTTAAACGCTTAAGATATTTCCCCAGTGATATAAAAATTTAACACTTATCTACTTTATAATAAAACAATAAATGGATAAATATATATTTTATAATTGTTTTCCTTGATTACTTGAAAATAAATGTCTGTTGTCAAAAATAAAAAAATGTCTATATTAATGTTTATTTACAATTGAAAGACATAAATTGATATTTCCAAAATTAGGTTTTTTTTAAAAATAATGCTTATGTTTTAACTTAAAACTCATAAAGTATTACATCTTACTATTTTAGATTTATTTCTCTAAATAAAACATACATAATTTTACCAAGTTTCGATAGAGCATCTTTATTTTTATTTTGAATGCGTTTTTTTATCATTTTAAATAACTATAATACATTTTGATAAATAAAAAAAAAAAATGTTTACAAATTACCAATATTCAAGCTGTAAAATAAGTAAAAATTTGAAAAAAGTTATTGTTAAACTATTAAGCTGGATTTTAATACAATTAAAGTTATATTTTATTGGTTAATACATAATTGATATTTAAATAAAAAATGACAATATCTTATGAAGAACCTCAAAATAATCCCTTTAGTACAGCCTGGTATTTGTGTATGATCAAGGTAAACTGGTTTTAAAACAAGAAATAAGAGTCAGCTTTATATAGTTACCGTGATTACTGACATTAAGTTAATGAAACGTGACCTACCGGACAAGAGTCACTAATTACAAATAAAGATACCAGCCGATAAATGAACCAAGTATAAGTGACAGACCTTGTTAATAACTAACTAAATGTAGATGTGTAGTTCGCAGTACTAGAAATAAATCAGTTTTAAGTTTGTTTTACCGAAAGTTTAATAAATATATTCCATTCACAATGTACACGATGATTCACCATATGCAAGCTAATTCCTTTTTTTTCTACAATAATTAAGTTATTCAAAATCTAATTTTTGAAAATCTTAAATATACTTAAAGACCATATATCACATTCTTGAAATTTTTAAGCAACTAAAGGAGTTTTCGTGGAGATACAATCTCCATTTTAAAATTAATCATTTTAGTATATAATATTTAAACCAAGCGTATTAAACATGCGACCTACGACTTTTTTTATGGCCCCAGCCACATTGAAAAATAAAATAAAATATGACAATAAAAATAATAGACATATGTTTAATTTATATTTATATTTTCTAACTTTTTTTTTAAAAAATTGAAAAATCCAAAAAGTTATAAATTTATTGTATTAAGTGTATCATCTAAATAATATATGTATACAAAATGGCATATCAGGAAAGAAAATTTTGAAGAAAAGATGTATATTTTTAATTTTTTAATTTTATATGGAAAATTTATTTTGTTAATAAAATAATAAAATATAAAAATAATTGTTTTTAGTAAATTTTAATAGTAATATTTTTTTTGTTTTTTGTGGCCCTCAATATTTTTTTTTTTTTTTTACAGATGTTTTGACCCAAATAATTTTTGTAGTTACTAGTTTGATATTCCTGATTTAGACAAACGTTTTTCTAAAAATTTTGACGTATCATAATCAAATTCAAACGAATAATTTTTGAGTTGTTCAATAGTGTATACAAAGAATAATAGGTCTCCGATTATGAGTTTAAGAGATATAGATGAAGATATGATACTAGTTGACAATTTTAGTAATTAATATTGATTTATCAAAATTTGAAAATCATAATAGTGGTCCAAGTATAATAAATACTAGATTTAAATAATGCACTTACACTTTTTTTTTGTAAAACTATTTTTTTAAATTATCATTTCTATTTTAATTTATTAAGTTACTGAAAAACTTCTCGTTCTAATTTCAATTTAAGTTCATCAATAAACTCAAAAGAAAAAAAAATGGTCTTTGAAATATATCTTCACAGAATCAAAAAATTAAAATTTAAAAATATGATTATTAAAGGAACAATGAGTTAATTAAAATTGTTCAACCATTATTGATGATATAATACTATGTACACACGTAACTTTTTAATCTTGTTCACTTGCAAAAAAATTGTATAAAAACAAGATTTTTTATTGAAATTATCACATTTTAATTATATTATGTAACAACTTGATTTATTGGTAATAATTAATTCATAAAATTGTTAAATATAAATAAGTTTAATTTTAATCCAAACTAGATATTCTGTAACCAACCATAATATTATTTAATAACTTAATTAATTATAAAAAAACACTAGAAATACTTTAAGGATGTATTTTAAAATTAGGCATGTTATATTTTGGTTATAAACAAGGGTTGGTTGATGTAGCCTCGTCAATAATATTATAAGCTATCGTTAAAATATGTTAATAGATTATAAGTGTTATATTATATAGTTTTTTTTTTTTTTTTTTTTTTTTTTTTTTTTTTAATGTAAAAATGTTCTTATTTATAAACGAATTAAAGATGAAATTAAATCTATGCAATTTTAAACAACATTTTAGAAAAGATACCATTAAGCTATTTTATTATTACAAGGTTGATTTAAAATTATATTTTACTAACAATAATCAAATACTAAACTTTATACACGCAACTCAACATATTTTATTTATTTATTTTATTAATTAATTAACGCTAAATGAAATTACAAAGTTAGATAATATACACAAGTTATAGAACATAATCATAACAAAATTACACTATATATTTATAAGCTCTCTGGTATATAAATAGATAATAGTTAACAATTTCAAAAGAGAGAAAAAAATAGAATAAAACAACATTTTTACCTAAAGGCACAGCGATAAGCTAAACGTGAAATATGGAAAATAAAACAGAGGTAATAATAAAAAAGTGTTTGGTAATAAACTATATAAAAATAATAAAAATACAAAGTTTAGTAATGTTAAGGAGATGAAGTATTCTGTATGGTTGTGATTGTATCTAGTTCTGTAGGAAGTAACGTAGAATGGTGTCTTGTTGTATACATAGGAACACGAAAAGAGTTGGATGAAAGAAGATCAAGGACATCGATAAAATCATTTAGAATAGGAAAGATAAATGAATGTCTGCTACAATACGATTAATGGAAGGAGTAGGAATATCTATGAACGAGCTTATAGAAGAATAGTGATGAAGTGGAAATCATGATAAATTTATTGTTAATAAGGAAATTCGTTTAAATTACTTCAATAATAGAAAATAAAATAATCAATATCAATTTAATAATTTATTTTTTTATTTTTTACAAAAACCCATGATTACTTAAAGGAATATTAAGAAA